TAATGATGAATTTATCTTATTATTTTATGATTAATCAAATTAGTCTTATAATTTTTATTTTATTTTATTAATTTATCTTTCGATTAAAATAATATTTTTTTTTCATTTTTTTATCTCATTCTCCACTTCCTAAAATTTACTTTAATCCACATGCAAGTTTAATCTTTACCTATAGTTTAAGAAAAATTTTATTTAATATGGAATAGATATTGTTGTTTAATACAAAATTTTATTTTACTGAAAATAAGTGTTATTTTTATTGTCAATTATTTTATGATTTATAGTATTATTATTATTATTATTCAAATTGAATTAAAATCAAATTAATTTTATGAAAATATAATTATTTAGATTATTTATAACAGGTATTTTGATTTGAATTTTTTATAATAAAATATTTCACAAATTTAAAATAAAAATCGTAAAAACAGCCGAATCAAAATTTGAAACAGTGATTTGGTTCTGATTTAAAAAAAATTAAATCATATTTAGTTTTCAATTTTTATGATTAATTCGAATAATTCTTTAATACAAAATCCAACCCAATAGAAAGGCGAATATTTTAAAGACAAGGATCTTAAAATTTTATGAGATCTTATTTTATTTAAAGTGAATTCATCGTGTCATATATTTTTAAATCTTTTTTATAAATTTTATTCTAATAATGAAATTCTAATAGACAATTATTTTTATAATTATTTAATTATATTTTAACTTTTTACAATTTAAAAAATAAATTTAAGATCTTAATTTAACGTTATGGACTCACTTACATATAAATAAAATAAAAATTAAAAAATTTAAGCCGAATGTGTTAAGAGTAAGCAAGCTTCAATTGTAATAGTTTTTATTTTATAGATCTCCGTGTCTTGAATTTCGTAAACGAGGATGCATATAGAAAAGGTGATTTTTTTTCATATTTAACGATATTATACTCTAGTATAATAAATAATTTTATTCAATTTGTTTTTATTCTTAATTTTAAAATTAAAATCCAAATCAAACCATTCTATTAAAAAAAATGAGAAAAGAAATGCAGATTTAATATATTTTTAATTTTTAACACCCCTAATTTCAACCCTGAGTAATTTATATATTCTAATCTGTCAAACTTCTTCACCTTGAAAGTAATATAACACTTAAAATGAAAAGTTTCTATTAACAAAAAATTCTATAAACTTTAACCTATTTGATTAAACAAAGTACATTAGAGATGAGTTTGATGCGTGTGGTTGAAGTATGATTTTTAAGATAAGAAAATGATGATATATATCGAACAGTGTGAGAAGTTTTGTTAGGAACGATGAGGACATAGACATTGTTGAATCACTCGTAACGTGGTAGTATGCATGTTAGTGTGATTAAAGAATCGAAGAAATAGCAGATTATAGATTTGTCTTCTTAGTAGAAGCTATTTTCGTACTCACGTTTCACGTTTCACGTTTCACGTTTCAGCCTTGAACTTTGAACTTCCAAACAGAGTATCCATCCAAATTCATGTCACCCTCGTGGCCTCATCCATAAAACAAATCTAATTTATTAACAGTAGTACAGCACCCGTGTCTACAATTTTTTATAATTTTTTTAAATATTAATTTTTTTTAAGGTGAGTGACACGTTGTTTAGAAATAAAGAATAATATATATATATATATATATATATATATATATAATTTTTTTAACCTATTGAAATATCTTTTAACTTTTAGCAATAAAATTATGGTAAATTAAAGTTTTAATATAAATTTTTAATAATTTTAATATAAATTTTTAACAATAAAATCATAATAAATTACTTTTAGTAATAAAATCATGATAAATTAAAGTTTTAATATAAATTTTTAACAATAAAATGATGATAAATTAGAGTTTTAATATGAATAATAATTTAAACATAAAAATTAATTATAACGTTATTATCCTAGCCCAGTCGGATGGATATTCTGCTCTTATGCGGAATAATTTTATTTTATTATTTTTTAAATATATTTACTTTTTCTTTTTTCTCTTTTTCTCCTTTTTATTATTTTTTAAATATATAAATCATAATATTTTTTAAAATTATGATTTTTTTCAACTTAAAAGAAAAAAACGTTTATATAATTATACATAATATTTTATAATTAGTATTATTTGTGTGTAATTAAATTATATAATTGTTTGAAGATAGGGCTGTCAAATATTTTATAATTTAATTATTTATTTATGTGTAGTGAAATATTTGTCACATAACTTTCACTTTTCTAGAAAATAATTATCTATTAAATAATACGAATTTTCAATATAAAAAAATTATTTTAAATATAAAAAAATGTATTTTATTCTTTTATTTTTGGAATATTGTTTTAAAATTATTTTAATTATACAAATTAATCAGAAATAAGTGTTCTTTAAATAGACATCTAAAAACATTTTTTATAGGATATATATATATATATCTCTGAAGTTTTTAAAGTTTTATTTGGTCATTTTAAAATTCTTATTATTTTCTTAACTTGAAATGCATCATTTTCGTATTGTTTGGATAATGGCGTGAAAAAACAGAGAAAGAGAAAATGGATATGTGGACGGAAAATTGAAAAAAAGAAAAAAAAAAACAAGACGTATAATATTTTAATTAATTAAATCAATATAGGAGAGGTTCGAGTTGAGGTTGATATGTCCCTTACCTTCACCCGCTTTTAGAAGTGGATTCGAACCACTGGACTCTATTTTCTGAGGATACATTGACTGTTCAGCCGTTACCATTCTATATACCTTTTCGGCCTTAAACCCCTTATCCCGTATGTATGCAAAGGATGCAGGAATCGAAGTTGAGTGATTCAGTAATATAGAATAGCAATTGAGACAGATAGGGAGCATGCCATTCCATTCAAGGTTTGGGAGGTAGGTTATTTAGGCGTCTCTTTCTGGGTTGTATTCGATCAGGAATGGCCAAAGAATCGATTAGTAGTATTAGTTGAGATTTTATCAATTAATATTGATTAATATAAGCATAACAATTAATATTGTTTAACCGTTGAAATCTTACTATAGCAATTTAGGAAATAAATTATGTTAGATGATTCCCATTCGTTATATTATTTATATCTATTTTTATTTATTTTATCTTTACTTTATTATGTTTTTTCCTTTTATTTTATTCTTTCTAAAATTTGATATTTTATTTTAAAATTAAATATTTGGTATCTATTTAGAAAATTCATTATATTTGATATAATTTTCATTTATATATATATATATATATATATATATATATATATATAAATAAAGTGAAGTTTGTTTTTATGAGGAATAAAGTGAAGGTTTCGAGTAAAAGTCTGTTGGGACTTATTGTTTAATCCTTGATCTTGAATATCACTTAGACAATATGGATACCTTTTATGTACCTAATATCATTAGAAATTTAGTTTCTTTGTCTAAACTTGATGTTGTTGGATATTTTTTAAATTTGGGAATGATTGTTGGATACTTTTGAACAGCTTTACTACGAACACTATTCAACAAATACATGACAATCTTCAAAGCATACATCCACAACGATACAGGTAAACATGAATTACTTAACATGGTCCTAACCATATCCAATCATACAAGTATGCTTAAACAAACTGAAGCAATCATTCACAAGCTTAAAAGAGTATCCAACAACATCAAGTTTAGACAAAAAAACTAAATTTCTAGTGATACTAGGTACATAAAAAGTATCCATAAGGTCTAAGTGATATCTAATGTCAAGGATTAAACGATAAGTTCTAACAGCTTCCATTAAAACCTTCACTTTATTCCCCATGAAGACGAATTTCACATTTGGGTTTTTGGTTCTGGTCGAAAGGAATCTCTGCATCACATTAGAAACATGAGTCGTACATCTAGAATCAATCTACCAAGTATAACGAGGAATTTCAGTTAAGTTTGATTCAAAACACACATAAGCACTAAGTTCACCTTTCTTTTCGAACCAAGCTTTATACTTTAAGCAGTCATTCTAAAATTGTCTAAACATATGCAGAAATGACATTTGTCATTTTTTTTTGAATTTTAGTAGAGAACTCACTAATATTCAATGGTCATTTACCCTTTCCATGCTTCTTAACAACTTTCTTTTCATCTCCTTGATTTTTCACATAATGAATAGAGTGACTTCCTAAGTTCTTGAGTCTAGTCTCCTCCTAGACTAACATACTATACAATTCATGCACATTCCATTTGTCTTTCACAGTGTTATAATTAATCTCAAATGGACCATACTTAGACATTAACGAGTTCAAAATGAACTGCACAATAAAATTTTTTTCCACTGCCATTTCAAGAGACTTGAGTCTTGCTGCGATATTTGTTATCTCGATTACGTGTTTATACATACTACGAAAATCATCAAAGTTTATGGTGATCATCGTACTCATCAATGTCTCAACGAGGGATTTGTCAGCAGTTTGATAGCGCTCCTCTACAAATTTCATAAACTCTTTTACATTCTCAGTCTTAAGAAGAATAAACTTAATATTACTTGTTATACTCATTCACATAATCATAAGGATATTGCTTGTTATATTCGTTCGCATAAACATAAGACAGACTCCTAATCTCTATAATGAGTTTTCTCTTTATTGTTAATAACATTAGTGATAATATTTAGTTTTTCAACTTGAAAAACCAAATTAAGATCCAACACACCTAAGGAAAATTGGATTTATTCACTTCAGTTAAAAAAATTTAATCCATTAAAAACAGGAAGATACTTGTCTTATTAACGTGTGTTTCAATCTTTCAAATTTTGCAAATTGAATCTTTATTTTTAATAAAATCACTTTTTGGGTCCTGGGTTATGCATTGGATGTTTGGTTATGGGTGTCCAAAAATCATTTTCGAATTTTTAATCTAAATTTTAGCCCAAAAAAAGAGAAGTAAGAAACAAATGACCTTGAAGCGGTGTTAGCTGTGGTTTCCATCCTATTCCCAGAGTTGAACACAGTCACTCTACTCACTCGGACACACTGAATGGCTTCTCATGGTGAACATGACCACCACCATCACCACGATCACGCTCATGAACATGATCACGACCATCATCATCATGGTGGAGAGGGAGAGAGCAAGTCATGGGTAGGTAAGGATGGGAAGGTGTACCACAGCCACGATGGTCTGGCGCCGCATTCTCACGAACCCATCTACTCTCCCGGCTTCTTCAGCAGAAGAGCCCCTCCTCTTAACAGGAATTTCAATGAAAGAGCCTTCACTGTCGGAATCGGTGGACCTGTTGGCACCGGGTGGGTTCCACCATCTTCTCTTCCCTTCTCTTCGCTTCTTTTCCTTCTTCACCATCTTTCTCTGTGTATGCAACCCTTTTTAAAAGGTTATACGCTTTTCATTTTCATGGAAATGCAGGAAAACAGCTCTCATGTTGGCCCTCTGTGAATTTCTGCGGGATAACTACAGCCTCGCAGCTGTGAGTTTTTCCACATTCTCTTCTTCCAATTTTATTCTTATTTTGACAAAAACAAAACAAATGTGCTTGCTTTCTTGCTTGTTTCAGGTCACCAATGATATATTCACTAAGGAGGATGGTGAGTTCTTGGTGAAGCACAAAGCACTTCCAGAAGAAAGGATACGTGCTGTGGAAACTGGGGGTTGCCCACATGCTGCTATTCGGGAGGACATAAGTATTAATCTTGGACCACTGGAGGAGCTCTCTAACCTCTTTAAAGCAGATATACTTCTTTGTGAATCCGGGGGAGGTATTTTTGTTTTTCTAATTTTTAATTTTGTACTAAAATTTAATTACATTGCATTTAATCATTGATTCCTGTGTAGGTTAAGTATATTCACTTTTATAATACTTGCCTGGATGATTTCTGATTTGTTGATAGTGTGAAAATCTTTATGCTTGGTATGGAAATTAAACTCCTGGTTACTATGTTTAAAATCTAGTTAACATGTTCTAGATATAATTTTCTACAAACACATGTAAGAGAAGAAAATAAAAAGAAAAAACAAAATATTTTTTTCCCTTAAAACCAGCTTTTGAACAAGCTAAACGAGAGGGTTTCTATAGATTAGTTACGTGCTTACATATGCCATCGCTTTTTAAATTAAGTTAGATCCCAAGAGCTTTGGATATTCACTTGAGTTTCCTTCATCTGCAGATAACCTGGCTGCCAATTTCAGCAGGGAATTGGCTGACTACATCATTTACATAATAGATGTGTCTGGTGGTGATAAAATTCCTCGTAAAGGTGGTCCTGGAATCACGCAAGCTGATCTCCTTGTAGGTGCTATTTGCATAGATCTTGCAACGTGCTTGTCACAGATTCATCAATACTTATATCAACCTTTATTGCAAGATTTTAGAATATGATTATGTTCATTCCAGGTGATAAACAAGACTGACCTTGCTCCAGCAATTGGGGCTGATTTAACAGTCATGCAGCGGGATGCTCTGCGGATGAGAGATGGAGGACCATTTGTCTTTGCACAGGTTAGTTAATTACATTATTTGTTTGTTGGAATAACGGTGTTATAAATTTTAAATAGTGGCTTAATACACTTAAACCCCATGGTATATCCAAGTTTCAGCTTTTCACTGAGGCTCGCTATGTTAATTTTTTTGCTATATTTGCATGCTTTATGGCACTAAATATACAGCAGTGAACAACATTCTATTAACAAAACCGTCTGGTTCTCTTAACTCCAAGTCTTTAATCCTCAACCACAACGTTTTCTTTATAGAAAAGAAAATAGTATGAACATTTGAGAGGGATTGTTGGGTTAGAGATTTGAATGGAAGAGTCTATAGTGTTTAGGTAAAATTTCCTTTTTCAAGTCTTGTGGCCCGCCCCTGATTTTGGTGGACTAAAGACAGGGAAGGGCAAAATGGAACGGGCTGACCCGTTTTGCTATCCTTACAAATAGTTGTTTAACCAATTGACAGTCTCCAAGTTTGTAATGAAAGCTTTTGTATTCCTCTGATTAGACAAAGAAGATTGAACAAATTTTTTCAAGGTATCCTCCAATTTAGAAGTCTTTTCATGAACAAAAGGGAAGTTTCCTTGTTGTTGATATGGAGGTTGTCTAGTGGAAGAACTTGTTTCTTGCTTCCACCCTTGAAAATCACATTTAAGACTTTGTTGAGATCCTTTACCTGTATGAATAGCATGTAGCTGTTGAGGAAGCTTAACCATCTACTTTGATGAGGCTTCAATTTGTTGGGTTATAATTTTGTTCTGTGCTAGAATGACATCTTGAGTAGTAAGATCAAACACTCCTTTCTTTTGAAAAAAATTCCTTTGTGTTGATCCTGATAATTAGTGGAGGAAAAGGCGTATACTAATCTTGATGCTTGTTTTGCATCTACATTTATCAAAGTTCCTCCAATTATTGCATCCAATATCATCTTTGTTTCAGGTTTCATCATATTGCAGAAAATGCTTAAATGAGCTACATCTTCAAATTTATGATTTAGACATTTCCTGTGTAATGATATAAATTGCTCCCATGCTTTACAGAATAGTTCATCTAGTCCTTGTCTAAAAGTACAAATGTCAGATTTAGCACTCATTAGACAATGGGAACTAACAATTCGAAAACTTATCTTCTACAACACTCTGAATAGTTAGACTTTGATTTGGATGGAATTGTAGCCAAGATTTAGCTTTTTCTGCTAAAGAAAATGGGAAGAGCCGAAGATAGACAAATTCTTCCTCCCCCTTTGGAATTCCTAGTGCCACACAATTAATAGAGTGTAGACAAATAAGTATATATATTCATGATCCATTTTTATGAAATGATGTGTTCTGATCAAACTTAAGAAGGCTAGCTTCATCTCCATTGTCTTGGTTGTAGGTGGAGTAACCATACTAGAAAAGTCTAGGCCCTTGCTGCATAACATAGTCTCTCAAAGTCCTTCTAGGTTGATTTGGTTGACCTTGTTGTTGATCCATTTCTGGTTGAGTATTAGAAGAGATGAGTTGATGGTGAGAAAATTACTCTTGGTGCTCTTTATGTTGTGCTTCCCTTTTCTTTTTCCTTTTTATGCTATTAATTTTCCTGACTGTTTTTTCAATTTCTAGATCAAACTGCAATTGATTTGCAAGTGCCTATCCTCTTAATAACATAAACAAACTTACTAAAGCAAAACACATTAACACGAGATAGAAACCGAAGAACATATTTTTTCTAAGAAAATATTTTACAATTTTTTTAAATTGTTTAATAATTTTATATTAACAAAAACTACAAAACTAATCTAAACTGAACCACAAACATTGATTTTGGTTTGGTTCAGATTTTATATAATATTAAAATCAAACTTTATTGATTTTTATGTTTGGTTCAGATAATTATCTGATGTAAAACTGAACCATACTGAACCGCGAACACCACTACAAATGTTCAAGTTTGAGAAATTGATTTATAAGGGAATTAAAACTCAATACATAAAGTTTGGGGTTGAATTTCATCATTCACCTTATTCATATTCCATTGATCAATAATAATAAACATCATACATCATTCTTTTCCATTGACATAGATGTACATTTAAAAGTCACTTAAATTGATTTCTCAAATATAAGTTGACTAATATATATGGCATTATTACAAAGAAGAAAAACCTAAGAAGAGCAATCCCTTGCACTCCTGTGAAATCCAAGCTTTCCTTTTCTCTGCTTTTGATTTTTACGTGCTTCTCCTTTTTGTGTGTAATCAATCTGCTCTTTTTGAGCATTTTCTCTTAATTGAAAATTATCTTACATCAATGCTCTATTGTTGAAAGTTCAGTCAAGCCAAAATTATTTAGATGTTTTGCCTTCATGGTTGCTTGAATCTTCTCTTTGTACTTCTTTGTTCCCATTTCTTGAATTCATGTTAAATTTTCATTAATTTGCTTGCATCTCCTCCTTATTTCTAGTTAGTATTCAATCCTACGTAGAGATTTACATACAAAATTATTCTAGTTAGGAGAAATTATAATTTATATTTGAGACAATTAGTTGTTAAGTGTCTAATTTCAAGTCCTATTTTAATGATTTTTAGCACTTATCAACTACGTATAATTATAAATAGAACTGATATCTAATTGACCATTCAAGTAAGATTTTGTGGTAGGTTTACTCCTTTCACCCTTTCACATGACATGTTCATGGAGCACATCAGTAAGATTTTTACTTGATTGGTTCTCACAATTTTTTTTTTTTACTTGAAATCCTCCTTGTTTGTGTATTTGTAGTGTGTACGCTTGCACACACAGAAGATTGTGCGGTTCACTTCCTTTTAACATTCAAGTTATAACATAGTTTCTTGTGACCTACACCTTATTCAACCCACTATTCTCCCTATATAGCATTGGAATCTGTTTTCAGCTTTCTGATTTTTAGCATCCTAATTAACCTGTTTTTAACATCCATAATCTATATCTTTATTATGGTCTTGAACCACAATCTAATTTTTCACTCATTTCCTTCTTAACTTGATGGACATATCTATGTGCAGGTGAAGCATAATGTTGGAGTAGAAGAAATTGTGCATCATGTCTTACAGGCGTGGGAAGCAGCGACAGGGAATAAACGTCATTAACGTTTCTTTGTAAAACGGTTTCCTTTATATTGTATATTTTGGTAGCATGTTGAGAATAAACTTCAGAAACATGATGATGTTCAAGCACGGACTCCACCTTTTGTGTTGCGTCTGTTCCTGCGTGTTATAATCACAACTTCATCAACATGTTACTGCTTGGACTAATCTGTATGTGAGAGTTATCTTTTTCTCTATTTTTGTGATTAAATCCCTTATGGTACACTCGTTTAGGAAGGAAAATGTTTACTGTAGAAATTATTCCGTGCTTGCTAAGAGTTTGTTCACTGAAATGGCAGTGATACTATTGAAATCAGACTGTATTTTATTTTTAATTAACTCATAAATTGGCCAATCAAGTGAATTGAAAGTAGAATTTCAATATTTGAGTCTACTTGATAACTTTCTGATTTGGAAATGGATCAACCGGATTAAAAATTAGTTTGTTATTTTTAAATAATTAGATTTTAATTAAACTGAGATAAAATAAAAAATTGAGATAAAATTAGAAAAATTAACTAAATTTTTGGGTCGAATTGATAAAATAAATTTTTTAATATAATATTTTTATAAAAGATATAATATATTTTAGTTTTTTATTTATTTTATTATTTATGTTAATTTTAAATAATAATTATTTTATTATATTATAATTTTATCTTAATAATTATTTATTTTTTACTTTTTCATATACTTTATATTTATAATTTTTATTGTAATTTATTGTATTCATAACACAAATTTTTATTATTATTTTTTTATAAAATTATTATTATTATTAATAAATTTATTATGTATTTATTATATTATAAAAATATTATTTTTATTAAATCTGGTTGAACTCTTGTTGTTCTATTTTAAAAATATTATTTCTTTGTAAGTACATTTTTTACTGATTACATGCATCTATATTTGTGTTTAGTCATAACAGTTGCAGCATTTTGTAAAACAATCCATGAAACAACCAAGACTATAAATCAAAATGGTTTTGGATGTTGATCTTAGCAGGAGGTTTAGTATGTTTGTCTCTGTTCAATCTACCAAGCTCATTTCTCTAGTCAGAATCAGCCTCTCTAACAATTGAAGTCTATCTATTTGCTCATGGATGAATGTTTAGGTGTTAATTTGTGAGCCACCCCTGTTCTTTCTCTCTTATCGAGTAGCACGTTAATGTTACCCGCTACGCGTACGCACCAACCAATTAATAAATACCTATGTAAGATCAATTTTAACATTATTATTACTTTTCTTGTAGGAAATCTTGATAAAGCAATTATAATTTATAGTAAAAATAACTCTCACATTATTTACCTATTTTTAATACTTTATAATAAAAAATTTATGTGTACAAGTGTTTTTTTTTTAATATTTTAGCTTTGTGCAGAACATGTTTTGCTTAATCATAATAAATACATTGGATAATTATTCAGGACAAGAAATTGAAGCCATCAATAACATGTTACTTCCTTTAAAGAATTTATGCCATTAGATTATCTAAAAAATATTAGTTAAGCATACTAGAGGAGCGTCAAGGTCGAAAAAGTTAGTTATTTCTTTTAAGACAGCACAAATTTTTTACTATCTTAACGGATTCATGATGTAATTGTCTTCACAAAGGCTATAAAGAGTTAGAAAGGAAAATTGTAACGACGAAACTAATTAAAATTGAAAAAAAGATATTTGTCCCTCAGAAGAAAACTTAGAAGGCAGAAAAGGGAACCGAGGAGGTTACTTCTTAAATTATTGAGGTTTAACATCATTTTGACAAAGTCAAGAACAAAAGTGTTGTCTCTAAAGCAAGGACGATGAATCTCTAAGATTAGTTAGTAAAGAAAAATATTGAACTTTGTTGGTTTGAGTACTTAACACTTACCAAAAAGAATTTTTTTAAAATTTGGAATAGAACAACTTTTATAAGCCTTTACATCACGAGGAAGTTGAAACTGGAACTACGTGCATGGCTACAAAATAGGTCACGCACACCTAAAGAATAGTTAACTGACAGACTAGTTCAACCCTAAGAAATATGGGTTTATTTAGAATATGCCAAAAGAAAACTAACAATCCCTCCCTTAAGCTCTAGCTTACTGCAGTAACATCCACTACTCCCAGCATTTGTCGAAGCTTCTCAAATTGTTCGAGTTTCACAGCCTTCGTCATTATATCAGCCACTTGTTCATGAGTATTGCAGTATTTCAATTGAACCACGTGATCATTTACCAAATCTCTGAGGAAGTGAAATCTCACTGCAATGTGCTTACTTCTTCCATGAAAGATAGGATTCTTGGATAATTGAATTGTAGAGTTGTTGTCACACAAGATATCAGTGACTTTCTTTTTTTCTAACCCAAGATGCTCTACAATTCTTCTAAGCCAAATGCATTGACAAGCACAAAATGCTGCAGCAATATATTCAGCCTCAGTAGTAGATAAACTTACTACAAGCTATTTTTTTGAAGCCCATGATACAGCTGCAGTTCCCATCATAAATACTGAACCAGAGATGCTTTTTCTATCATCTAAGTCACCTGCATAGTTACTGTCACTGTAGGCTATGAGACTCATATTCTTTCCTTTTTGATAAAAAAGGCCGTACTCAATGGTGCCTTTTAGATACCTGAAGATTTGTTTTATTGCAGCCCAATGTGACTCCTTTGGATTAGCCATGTATCTGCTGAGTAGACTTACTCCAAACATTAGGTCTGGCCGTGTGACTGTCAAGTACATAAGGCTGCCAATGGCTTGTTTAAACTTTGCAGCATCTACAGGAGCTCCTTCATCATCTTTAGACAATATAGTCCCTGGTACAATGGGATTTCGAACAAAGTTGTTGTCCATCATGTTGAACCGAGCTAGTACCTCACATGCATACCGTCTTTGACAAATGAAAATTCCTGCCTCATTTTGTATTACTTCTATTCCCAAAAAATATCTCATTTTACCCAAGTCGGTCATGTCAAACTCCAGCTGCATTGAGCTTTTGAACTCTTCACATATATCTTTGCTATTTCCAGTAAAGATTAAATCATCAACATAGAGACTAACTATTAAAATATTACCATGAATCCTTTTCGTGAACAAGGTGTATTCACTAGAGCATCGTTCAAACTTTTCTTTGACAAAGTAGGCTTCTATCTTACTGTACCATGCTCGTGGAGCTTGTTTAAGCCCATATAGAGCTTTCCTAAGTCTGTATACGTGATCTTCTTTCCCTTTCTTGATAAAGCCAGCAGGTTGTTGAACGTACACCTCTTCTTGAAGTTCACCATGTAGGAACGCACTTTTGACATCAAGTTGAAATACTTCCCATTCACTTTCAGCTGCCACAGCTAGAAAAATTCTTACTGTGTCAAGCCTAGCAACAGGAGCAAATACTTCTGTATAGTTGATTCCGTATTTTTGGGCATAGCCTTTGGCCACTAATCTGGCTTTATACTTCTCTATCTGACCACGTTCATTGAGTTTGGTCTTGAATACCCATTTCACGCCAATGGGTGTAATACCGTTTGGAGGATCTACAAGTTCCCACGTGTTGTTCTTTGCAATGACTTTCATCTCATCATCCATTGCTTCTTTCCATTTCTGATTTGTGCAAGCTTCTTCAAAGGATTGAGGATCTTCATAATCGGTTGCCATCATCATTGCCAATAATTTCTCTTCTTTTGTAAATAGATTGGTCTCGTAGTCAGACATCCATAATGGTTGTCTTCGAATCCTGGTTGCCCTCCCTTCAACTAGAGAATCAGTAGGTGTTGAATCTGAACTTAGCTTGAGTGCTTCAGAGTGATCATCGCTGGCTGTTATGTGTTGAGGTGCAGATCCCGCAGTTTCAATTTCTTCGACGTCTCTGTCTCCCCAATCAACAACAACAGTTGTACCTCCATCATCATTCACTTCCCAATTCCAGCTTTTGTCTTCTTCAAACACCACATCTCTGCTTACAATGACTTTCTTTGTAATAGGATCAAAGAGTTTGTAAGCTTTTGTCTCATCACTTACACCCAAGAGAATACATTTTTTACTTTTTGCATCTAGTTTGCTTCTCTTTTGATCTGGAATATGGACATGTGCAACACATCCAAAAGTTTGAAAGTAATCCACACGTGGCTTTACTCCACTCCACACTTCTTCTGGGGTTCCTTGATCTACTGCAGAGGTTGGACTTCGATTTTGGACATGAACACACCATCGCACTGCCTCAGGCCAGAAGGTTTTTGGCATTTGCTTGTCATGAAGCACTGCTCTTACTGCATTCATGATGGTGTGATTCTTTTGTTCTGCAACTCCATTTTGTTGAGGGGTGTAAGCAGCTGTCAATTGCCTAGTGATACCATGATAATTACAGAAGTCTGAAAACTCCTTGGAATTGAATTCGCCACCTCTGTCAGTTCTTAAACAAGCAATGTGTGTGCCAGCTTCCTTTTCAACGCACGCTTTGAAGCTTTTGAATGCATTGAACGTTTCAGATTTTGCATGCAAGAAATAGATCCAAGTTTTATGAGTATAATCATCAATAAAACTTAGAAAGTACCTTTTACTGCTGTGTGAAGCCGGTGAAATGGGACCACATACGTCAGCATGAATTAATTGGAGTCTCCTTGATGCTCTCCATGAGCTTTGCTTTGGTATGACGTCTCTATGTTGTTTTCCCATGAGGCAAGTGGTGCACATAACCTTGGGAGTTTTCAAAGAGGGTAGACCAATTACCATTTCTTTATTTGCGAGTGTATTGAGTCCCTTATAACTGAGTTACCTTGTCTGAGACGTCTTCTGCTTGAAAGCACTGAGGATGTTGAGAGATCATTGAAGCTGATACATAGAACATTCTATTTCCTTTCATGTTAGTGTAAATGATCAATCCTTTATCTGGATGAAATATCTTACATGTATCATTTTGGATTAAAATAGCTAAACCTTTCTCTTGAAGTTGTCCTAGGCTTAAGAGATTAGTCTTAAGCTCTGGAACATAGTAAACCTCTGATATGACATGCGAAACATCATTG